TAGAAGCTAATTTAAAAATTTCACGAAATTCAGATGATAAAAAAGATGGACAAAATCTTGCTCAATGTTTACCTGATAAAGACGAATGGAGGTTAATTAAAGAATTAGTTAAGGTCTTCGAGCCATTCGACCAGGCTACTGAAGCCTTTAGTGTTAAAAAATATACTACATTGTCGGTTGTTTATCCTATTATTGAAATGTTAAAATTTGAATTTGCAACAAATTCAAATTTAACTTTAATTAAGGACGATTTTAATGAAGAATATGGTAATTTTTAATATTTTTTATCATAAGTTATTACCAAAATATAATGCTAATATTTACCTTTTTATAATTAGATAGCGATAATGATAATGAAGATACACAAATACTAGATACTTATGATATCCAATCAATAATTGCTTACACTAAGAAAGCAATTTATAATTCTTTTTGGAAATATTGGGGCGAACCAAAATATACCAGTCTTTTAGCTACTTTACTAGACCCTCGGCTTAAAAAAATGTGTCCTTGGTCTAATCATCTACGAGAAAAAACAATAAGAATATGCCGTGAAGAACTTGATAACATTACTGATATGACACCTATACAATCTATTTCTTCCACCAGTACTACTTCAACTAATCGTTATTTTGCATCAATATTTGATAATAATGATGATGATAATCTATTAAATAATAAAAGTGAATTAGATAAATATTTAGAAGCATCGCTTGCATCACCATCAAAATGACCTTTAGAATGGTGAAAGGAACGAGAAAAAGATTTTTCAAATTTAAGTAAGTTAGCAAAAAAATACTTATCTATCCCAGCAACTTCGATGCCAAGCGAACGCTTATTCTCAGATGCGGGAAATCAAATAACACCAAAACGAACACATCTCAGTCCAGAAACTGTTTCTCAAATATTGTTTTTAAAAAGGAATAGTGAATTAATTAGTATCACATAAAAAAATTTTTTAATTTGAATAATTTGTAACTATATAAAATTCTTTTCTGATCTCTTACGCTATATAAGTAATCCATTAGCTATATTGTCACGGCTAAAACTTGAAATCAGGAACCTTGATTTAAAACTATAAGCACCATCTATATTCTTTTATTAATTAAAATTTCAAGCTTCGGCCGCGATATATATTATTAACTAATTGATTATAGAATAGGATTACCTATATTATAAGAGTTGTTTTTTGATTTTAAATAAAGACTATTAAAGGCTTTAGTTATAAAATACCATATAATGGATTTTAAAATTAATCTTGCGCATGACATGGTTGAAGTCGGCATCTACTTGAAGTTGAAGTTTTAAGTGTTTAAAATTGCACTAACTGAAATTAGCAACCAAATTAGATCCTTAGTGATTTTGATTTTAAGCGAATTTAATTTTAAGCACTTGAAATTACAACTCAAGCAAATGTTAATTTAATAATCGCATGTATCATGAAATTTTATTGGATGTAATCACGTAAGTTAGCCAGGTTAACCAGGTTAGGCAGGTTAGACAGGTTAGGCGGGTTAACCAGGTTGGTATTCGGGTAAGGGTTAAATAAACAGGCAGGTGACCCGGAGTAGAATTTTATACCGGGCCTAATCTCTACTACAGATCAAAATTTATTTAAATATTAATAATCAATAAAAAAACTAAGACCTTATTTTTTTTAAAAAAAATAAAAAATAAGTCTATAATTAATCACATATATAACTTTAATCATTGTTTATTTTAAGGTTCTGCTTGCTAATTGTTATAACTAAAACTTTTTTGTGAGTTTTTTGTTTAAAGTTTCTGATTTTTAATATTTTTTTTTAACATCAAAACAAGTTTAATATTTAATTATCAAAGCTTAAAGTTAATTTTATCCTCAAAATAAACTCTACTAAAATAGAAGTAGATCTCATATTACACTTATTTTAGGTTTCTTATACTAGAAGTAATTCTATATTAAGTAAAACAAATCCTTTTCACAAATGACAACATAGTTTTCTTTTAGAAATTTCTAAAATCTAATATGTACTTTCACTTAAACTTTCACAAGGCTTTGCATCCGATCATAAGCTCCAATTTTTTGGTTATAGAGTATTTACCTTCAGCCAAACTCAAATCGTTGATCTTGTCTGTGAGGGAACGGGAGCTTAACAACTAAGCTATGGGACCCGAACCCTTATTTAATCCTAATTCTATTTTTAATTCTAATACTATATTATTAGATTTGTACAAACAGTTTTAAATACCTATCAGCCTTGTATATTTAAGGATCTATAGTTTATTATACTAGAGCTCGTCATAATAAGACTCGTTAGAGTCCTGTAGTAAATCCCTGTATATATGCTGCAAGTGGGAACGGAATTTAAGTGGGTTCAGAATTTTTATATAAAACCAGCATTTTGGGGTTGATTTTATTATATGAACACTCTTACCCTAACCCTAGCTTAACTATGAAATTCCATTTCCGCTTATAACATATATACGTATAAAAGTTTTAAATTCTACTCTTATATATTAACATTCTTTGCGTTTTAAAATCTTCATAACCCAGATACATTTAACGTTTTAGTAATTATATATAGCTCTATAGTTACCTTCTAAGTAGGTGTGGAATTATTTAGGATTATTTTTCATAGTAATTGTTGGTGCGATAAAGACTTGTGAAATGTTACATTCTTAAAAAGCACTTTAAACCTGGTCAAAAATATGTAAATCGATATTTTTAATCAAATCGACGTGCGTCACTTGATCACATGATACCGAAATTCACGTGTAATTTTTCTTATATTACTCGCATTAGATTAGAATTTATCTATAATCTCAACCAGATGACTTTCATAGATGATCGTAATTTTATTTGCTTTCACTGTTTCAAAGTATGTCTTTTAAATTTAGCTGGCCAGAATTCACCACAGAATTCGTGGAGCAAGCTAAACAACTTTTAACGACAGCTCTTAACAAGAGCAGTAAACCAGTGAATATAGTGGATCCTATAGTCGTCAAAGACTTGAACATGGGAACAAAGGTAACAAGTCATTCAATACTGAAGTAAGGAGCCTATATAGAATATTCACTTATTTTTAAGAAACAAGTAACTGATAATATCTTGCTCTTTAACTCCTTTATATCCCAGCCGCCCGAGTTGGAGATTATGGAAATTTGTGAATTGGCAGTTGATAAATTTAGAGGAATATTTAAATTGATATATAGTGGTGACGCACATTTAACTTTACAAACAAAAGTGCAGGTATAAAGTCTGCAGAATAGTATTTATTTATTTTATTTTACTTTATTTTTATTTTATGTTTTATTTTATTTTATTTTATTTTGATATTTTTTTTTCCTTGGCCAGGCGAATCCGATGAATAGCAATAAATCTGATGTGAGTATGTATACTAGAAGGGGAATTCTTGCAGCGGACCAACCGCTTGTAGTGCCTATGCTTCTTAGATTAAGCAACTTGAAACTACGAGGTATCATCGTTTTGGTAATTAGCAAGCAAAAGGGGATCACATTAGTATTCAAAAACGATCCTTTGGAAAAGGTCGATGTTACCTCAACTTTTGACAGCATTTCAAGCATACAAAGGTTTTTGCAGTCAGAAATCGAAAAAAGGTTGAGAACAATGTTTCAGGAAGATTTACCATCTATTGTTCATCAATTATCATTGCAAAAATGGCTCAGTAGTACTAAGAAAAAAGAAGAATTCACAAAGGGATCATCAGAAAAAATGCCTATTACGGAACACCGGCCATTAAATATCCTTCCGGAGAATACACCTTATGATACTATGTCTATGCCAGATCTTCGATACGGTACACCATTATCAACATCTGGTTCTGAATTATCAAGCATTTCTCCAGAATCATCATTTTATGCGGAAGAAGGGTCTATCATAGGAGATGTTGATTCTTTGGACGGCTATTCTGGATGCTCTTCATATTCTAGTTTTGGAGATTTATTTGAACGCAAGAAAGAAGAAGGTTTGAAAGCAATATCCCAACCTAACAACGAACATCACTCAGATGGTAACCGGCCACGGATATTTCATCGCCAACGCCTACTCGTGTCGCCACATCACAGAAGGGGTTCGTTACCTACTTGGTTACCATCTACAATACAAGAACAACAAGAATCTCTGCCAAAAAAACCACTAAGACGTAGATTTGCAAAACTTAATTACCAGTCACATGAATTGTCACACTAATTATACAGTATATAATAGTAAATTTTCTAAAATTATAATAAAAGCATATAAAATTACCATAGATTTTGAGCTTTAACATTTCTTAACTTATATATTGGTTTATTTTTAAATTTTATAAGTTAATATATATATTAGAAAGAATAAGTTTATCTTTAATATTAAATTAAAATTATATGTAATTTGCCAATAGTAAATGTTTATTAACCAAGTTATTTAGTAAAAAAAATAAGTCAGCTACATACTGTATATTTTTGATTATCTATATGTAATATTTCCTACATGTAGTAAATATTACTACGTGCATATATATACGTAATAAATATATTATTAGCTATCCATTACAGGTGCACAAATCATATTTTTCAGATCAAGATTAGGTATGTATACACAGTATATTTTTTTTTTGATTAACGTTAAGACAACTTATTTGACCTTTTAAGTAAATTTGTTTAGCATAAGAATATCGTTCCTGATGGATCAACGGTATGTAGGAAAAAATTTGGGATCGTCTAAAGCGGAGGTAATCACGTGACCAATAGCCAATCAAATTATAGAATTTTGATGAAGCAAAACAAGAAATAAAAACGAAAAACCCGAAAAATACAAAAAACAGCAGTCTATACCTGCCTTGAGTAGGTTAATTAAAAATGTCGGGAAGGCAAATTTGCATATATATAACCACCTAGAATCTAAACTAACCCTGATATAGGAGACCCCAACCCTAAAGTTAATAGAAAACTTTATTAAATATGAGTTACCTCGTCTCCCAAAAACGGCTTGGGTAATCGGTAATTTGCAAACCGGACAAATGAACACGTGCCGCTTCTCGGCACGTGAACCAATCATTTGCCCGGTTGAGCCAAATTAGAATATTAGTGTTATCCGGCAATTTATGATAAAAATAACGAGTTTGTTGGATAAAAATCCTAACCTTTAACTTTATTTTAAGTCTTAAGCCTAATTCTAAGGCTTAATTTTAACTTAAATTTGAGATAAAAATTTTTTTATTTTTTTATACATATTGTAGATAGAAATACTCCGTCTTAAAGAATATCAACAAATGCTTACATTATATTAAGTAATCAGTAATTGGGTGGAAGGATCAATATAGATTTCAAAAAGAAAATAAATGAACATAAAAGACAAAAGATAAAGTATGAAATAATCATAACTAGTAGTAATCAGTAATATAAAATATTTTAGTTCAGTTAACTAAGAAATTTTTTTTAGTTCAAATCACTATATTAGGAAAACAACTATGTGTATATAAAGAATCTTGTATACATTATTAAAATGATTTTTTTTTAGATTCAACCAAAAGAACTATAAATGTGCACTTTTGGTGTTTTCTCTAATATTTTTTATTAGATAAAGATTTATTATCCAATGTTTAATATGATTTTGTTACTTTAAGTAATTGGAGGGTTTTTTTTTAAATGTTAAAGTAAGTACATGTGATCTAGGATTTTATTGGTAGTATCAGTTGGTCAGTATCTGTTGATAGAACAGTGCAGAGGTGTTCATAAAAAGAGTGTACAACTAGCCACTTGTACAACTTTAGTTATTGTCTAATTTAAGTAGTTTGCCTGAAAGTTCTACACTAGTTGCTATACCTAGAACCCACCTATAAGATTTCTATTTAAACACTTTGATCCTATATCCATCACAGTTTATCAATAATTCTAATAAACTGATGAAGATATGTTATAGTTACTAAGTCATGTTTAATTTTGTACTAAACCTATCAGTATGATCTGTATTTCATACTTATAGCTCATTCGGTATCGTTTTGGCCTAAACTATCACTTGCAATTAGAACTAATCATTAAACCACTTTTATCTTTGTAAAGTTTACTCAAAATTTCAGTATTTATTTTTCTGATATCCTTTTCATTGTCTCCTACTAACTATTATTCAGAACTGATAGGATTTCTCAGACTTTCAATCCAGATGGTCCAATATAGTATATCTTAGCATTCTTTTTTTCTGATAATTCTAGCAGTCTGGTTGGTCATATGCTTCTCTATACATCTTGCTATCTAATTTATTTGCTTATCTTTTTGAAGATGCTTTATAAACTTTCATCAGTTTGACAGTGATATTAAAAGTTTTGTGTTATCTTCATACTTAGGATTTCTAAGTAGGTTTCTGACTCTTTAGTTTCTTTACTTTCCATATTTGGTGGTCTTATCATAGATTTGCACTAAAGTTTTATATAATATTGGTTATTAATATTTTTTTATATAGGTGTAATATTACACTTAGCCTATATGCCCTAAGCTTTTATTCAAGATGATGCAACTAAAGATTACAGATATACTAATTCAACTAATTAACAGAAACAGTTATCATAATACAGACCTATTTTTCAAAATTTGTTATTTATAAGATTTGAACTCTTGACCTGTTACTTAGAAATTAACAACCTGACCACTTCACTAGATCACTACATCCCTAAATAATTGTTTTGTAAAAATAGTTTGTAGTATAATTTAATAATACATATTTAAGTTTTTTAAAAAATATTAATTACAGAAAAAATCTCTAATCACTTATATACAAAATTATAGAAAAGCATTTTAGAAATTTACTAAAAAATGATATCTAAAACTAACTTTACAGGTCTAACAAAAAAGATAAAGCTTATAAAAAAGATATAACAAAGAGAAAAGTAGGAAATTAGAAGACCAGATAAAGAAGATAAAGAGAAAAATATCTTAGTTGACACTTGAAAAGACAAATTTTGGAGAATTCTCTGTAACTTAAAAATGCAAATCTGTAGATTATAGCATTATATGAACAGACAAACAAAACAAATATGTATAGTAAAAGATATATAAACAAATCCAATTTGAATAATATTAGACATAAAGCATAGAAAACTCTAGAACAACAAGTCATAAATAAGAGCCAATAATAATTAGGCTAAACATGAATAGCACACAAAGTCAGAAAAAAAGTCTAATATTGATATATATTAAAAGAGCATATTAGGCAGTAAATAGCATATACAACAAGGTGTTTTTTAATTAAGTTAGTAAAATATTTGTGATACCAGACAGAGAAGATGAAATTATGTTTATGCTAACAGAACAAGATGTATTAGAAGTTGCTTTACTATGTATAACTAAAGAAATAATCAAAAAAGCAGAAAATAAACAGCCAAAAAAGAGGTTCAATATCATCAAATAAAACAAAAACAATATAATACAAAAATCTATAACAAGACATTTACAAGACAAAGGAGAAGAGATTCAATAACAGCTAACAAACTTGAATCAGAAACAAGAAGAAGCATACAAAATGTCACAGAAAAGAAAAACAGAAATTAAAGAAATAGTTAAAAAAAAAGTGCAAAATGATGCAGAAAGTACATAAAGAAAAGTAAGCATAAAGATAAGTCAGATAAACAACAATCAAAAAAACAAGAATTCATCTAGCCAAAAAAGAAATACAAAAAAATAAAAAGAGAAGCAAAAACATCAAAATAAAATTTGAAAAAAAAATTAACATAGTAGAAGAACCTCTTGAAGAGAGCATATAGGTCTCAACCAAGAGAAATTGTAACTAGAATAACAGCCTACTCACAAATATACCAGTACACAATGTACTAGAAAAAACAAAAGAGGAACATATAAAATTTATAAATAGTCTTTAAGAAATAACATATATGTCAAAGATGTTAAAGAAGTCTTTAAAAGGAGAAACCTATAGGTAGAAATTGACTTTAACTGTGAGTATGACAAAAATAAAGCAATACAAAGAATCAGCAAAAAAGAAAGTGACTAGTATAGAATAATACCAGAAAAAAAAAAACACTATAAAGAGACAGATGCAATATAAAGAAAAAAATCAAAAGAAAAATAGTAACAAATTAAAAACTAAAAAAGAAGAACCTGAATGGAAAAAAAATAAAATCAAGACAAATGAAAACCAATATAAAACAAATAAAGAATTAGAAGACACAAGTTATCTAACAATCTGAAACTTACCTGCAGATATAAACAAAAGAAAATTGGAATATATTTGTAGAAGATTTAAAAAAACCCATATAGTAAGAATTAAGAAATCCAAATATAAAGTCTTAACAGTAGTCAAGATAAAGAAAACATATAAAGATATCTTATAGGCCATATCAGTAAACAATAATAAACTGATATGAGTAACCAAAGGAATAGAAGACCATGAAGCAAGAGAAGGACAAAGGAAATACATAACAAAACTAATAGAATTACTAAAAAACATCACAAAAGTCCTACTATTATGAAGTTTAAAGAATAAAGAGGTTAAATTAGTTTACATTCTACCAAATAGAAATGAAAACCAAAAAAGAACAGCAATAGTTATGTTTGCAACAGAAAGAGACATAAGAGCTGTCTAAACAAAACTGATTATATATAACAACTTTTAAGTCTATTAAGTAAATAAAGAAAAAAAAAAGACAAGAAAAAGAGAAAGTCTTGAAGTAGAAAGAGAAAGAAGCTAAGACAGACATAGCTATGTTTTATATACAGAAGAGAATAGAATCAGCAAAGAAAGACAAAGAAATAGGACCAATACAAAAAAGTACAGAAACAAAAATAGTATAAGTCAGAAGAATATTCTATTTAATGATAGAAGCAGGTCTCAAAGCTGAAATAAAGGAAACTAAACAAAAGATACAAAAATAAGGAAAAAAGAAATAGAAGATTTTAAAAAAAAACCAGAAGAATTCAAAATGCATAAACAAGGAAGAGAAATATATATAGAGAACTTTTTGGAACAAATTTGAAAAAGATTAGAAAGATTAGAAAAGACAAGAAGTATAGCTAAGGAGAACCTAGCTAACTATTTCTAAGAGCATCCTAGTTGAACTTATGAATATGCATAAGGAGATCAAAGATTTTTTGCACAGTGAGAGAAGGACTTTTGAAGAAAAAAGTAAAGAAGAATCATCTAATTTAAAAAAAGTAAAGAAAAGAAAAGAAAAAGAAAAAGTGAAAGACACGGATACAAGATAC